ACTTGAAGCCCACAGGTAACTAACTTTTCAAACAAATAGTACGTAAGAATGCAGATAAATCAAACTTTTATAGTTTGATCAAGAAGAGCACATGACTTATTACCTGCATGGATTAATTAGAAATACAAACACATCGCATGATGCACAACACATAAAACAGCATCTAAAGCGGCTGCAACCCACTGCAGGTACACGTCAAAGGACACTATCGGTCCCTCAAAAGCTATGCCGTCACTATAGAGGAAAAAAACAGCAAATTGTTCAGAAACAATAAAACATGCATGACAGCGATGTCACAGATCCCGTTAATTTGAGAGGCGATCGCCGGGCTGATTCCAAGGACCGGAATATCGGCCTCCCGAACGGCATCACGAAAGCGTGGACAATTTAGAAGTGGTCCTATTTGGCGCGCCAGCGGACGCCGGCTGGGGCCCAAAGAACAAGTCAGAGCCGAGAGTTGATAAACAAAATAAAATTATATTCTCAATTATGGCAGATCAAATTGATACAAAAATATGCACACTCGACAATAGTTGAATACGATATGTCACCAATAAAACAACGTACTACACAGTACAATCAGCCACACTCGAAACAATGGACACAAACAACAATACGCACTACAATGCAGACGCATGCATCGAACAACCAAGACACTTAAAGACTAAAGAGTTCGAAAACTTATTCAGTCAAAAGTCCTTGGAACAAAAGTTTGAATGATACTCTTCCGAGAATAACTCACTCAAAGTCCAGCGCTGTTGTCGTTCCGCTGCCCCTGAAGGTTCTCTTCCAGGAAACCTCACGTCTTCAATTGGCTGCTCTCCAAGCACTAAACTTCGCCGGCAACACGTCGGCTTCCCACGCGTTGCGATTGCAGTACGCGTCTTCGCTCTCTGGCGGTAGTCTCACACTCTTCAGCTTGTAGCACGAGTCTTCACCCCTCAGGTGCAAATCTCATCATTACCTCCTTTGTCACTGAGGACAAAAGGCTTCGCCCACAGATGCGGCGGAAACACCCTGCGCACACTGGTGCTAACTTCCTTCTTCTCCTCTGTCACTGAGGACAAATGGCTTCGCCGACAGACGCGGCGCAAACACCCTACGCACACCAGCGCAACATTCCTTCTTCTCCTCTGTCACTGAGGACAAAAGGCTTCGCCGACAGACGCGGCGGAAACACCCTACGCACACAGGTGCTAACGTCTTTCTTCTTCTGATCCCCCATCTCAGCGGCTTGGTTAAATACCCTTCGCGCTAGATTCCAGAAAAATCGCATCGTTTCCGTCGGCGCGATGTGCAGTGAAGGCTGGGGAAAGCGCGAGAGGTTTCGAGGGCAGTCCGCGACACCTGATGTAACTCTGCATCACCACGGCCCCTTTCCCTCCAGAATCTTCCAGGGCTTGCTCGGCCGCGGATGTGAGAAGGTTAGTCGGCGAACTACGCTTCCGAGGGGAGAGAGACGGCGTGCCCAGGGGAGCCATTGGTTGTTTGTTTTCTTCTTTATCGTTTACTTTGAGGCGCCTCTCTGCGCTTGGCTTGGTATCGTTACTGTCGCTAGAATTCGGTGGCACACGCTTTTTCGGAGCAATCGTTTGGGAAAAGCAATAAAGAGGCAATGAAAATAGTGCATTTCACTGTGTACTCTGGACAACGAACGCAGTAATTGAATACGTTCCACGTTTGTATTCAATGACCATTAGTCCTATGCAGATTTCACCTGCATGGGATTTAGTATGAGGCACCAATTAGCAGCGTGTTGGGTGCAGCGCAATTAATGCCGCTGATGTAGAGCGCATAGCCAGTTCCCGACCCGTCAACTAGCAAAGCCGATTGGTTCCGCGAAGGCGAACGCGGAAGACCCCGAGCCCGGGAAAGAAAGGAGATTTCTTCGTTGGCACAGTCCACGAGCGGAGCCGTCAAGGTCGCCCCTGTTCGAGATTAGAAGGGGGAAGCTTCGAAAAGCGTCTGGCAAGAGGTAGGTCAGCCGCCACAGTCTGAGTATAAGCCATTGTTGACATGCACGCGTGCCATTGAGAATGACGCGGGGACGCAACCACTTGGCTGACCCAGACATAGTGGTGGCAGGGAGACGAGCATAATCTCCCCCTCTGTTGTTAGGATGTCGGGGCGCCTCACTGTCGCATGCACACCTGGTAAGTGCATGGAGCCCACCGGTGTACCCACCGCTCTTAAGGAGGCTTCTACGAAGCAACAATTAATGAGAGAACTGACGGATTCAAGCGTGAGAACGGCTGCCGACGGAAGTCAGCCGACGGAGGTAGCATGGCCTGGCATGGGAGAGAGTGTGACATGCGCAGAACCTATTCATTTGCGTGTTTTATTTGGCAACATGGTTTTAACCAATGTAGTACCTGTTATTATGAAGGTGTTTCTGCGATTGGTATTGATGATGTGAGTCCCAACATGTGATTGGTGTTTGTGAAGACTCTTTGTTCAACCGAGGGTTGGAAAGAGGATATTTTAATTTGAAATAAGAGCGGAGGTTCGGGCTTGGATTCGGGCAGGTGCCTGAGGCTGCAATAAAGCGTCTCTTCACCGGACTGCGGCTCTTCTTTCGCGCTGCCACCATGCACTCGAGTCATCGAGGGGGACCCCTTCCGAACCTCAAACATTTTCCCTTCTTAGCTAGTGTTGATGCCAGTCGAGGAGGAGGAAATTAACTGGCGCAGCCGACAGGATGTGGAGAGCCCGCTGCGAGGAAGGTGCTGATGTCCGGGAAGCTAGCTGCTGGTGCGCTGCGAGAAGCAGCATTGACAGTCGGTGCGAGCCTGCTGGTCAACATTGGAGCCTGGAGTTCGGCTGCGCGTCAGTGAACGAAAGCAGAGCCAAAGGTCGTTGATCGACGGACTTACCAAACAGGCACTGCAGGGTGCTTCTTCAGGAGCAGAGCAGCAGGGACAGTCGATGTGACAGACTGAGTCAGTGACAGGGGTGATTGGGCGAAGACCTGCTGCATTGGAAGTAGTCATCGCACATAGCGTTGGTGACGAGACGGACGCAGTTCAACTGTCAAGTGCATCGGGCGGCGCATCACTGCAAGGTGAGGCCTGCTTTGTGCTCTCTCGGGGCCTCCATTTTTTTTAACTGAGGGCACTTGCGTTCAGGCACACTCTGGGAGATGACGGATTCAGAGCGAGGTGTCATAGAAGGTGACAGTGTGAATGAATCGGATCGCGCCCACGAGTCGCTGCTTTAGATCGAAGTGTTAAACCTCAAGCTTGAGCTAGAGAAAGTGAAGTCATCGCGTGCCTTTTCAGAGGAGTCGGAAAACCGGAACCTGCATGCTAGTACCGCACGGTACGCGAAAGAGCTGAAAGCAGTCCTTGCGCACGTGCCCAGTAGTAAGCCGATGATTCCGGCTTGGCTCAAGAACGTAGGATGCTCTTTTTGCGGCATTGAGCATTCCTGAGGAAATTCAAGGCACAATTCTGTTGCCATTCTTAACCGATAAGATGCGTACGTTCGTTGCCAATCAGGAAGAAGCTGGGGCTATGCCGTACTCGGATTTAAAATACCGAGTGGTAAAGGAGCTGCGTATGACTCCGAGCGAGTACCGTCGCAAGTTTGTGGAAATCAAAAGAGAAGCAGGTGAGTCTTGGAGCCAAGTGACGGCGTGCCTGGATACTATGTTCACCTACTACTTGAGGTGTTAGGTTAACATAGAGAGGATGGAGTCGGTAGAAGATCTTCGGGAGTTGCTATTCGCTGATAGGCTAAAGCAGTTAATGCCAAATGAGCTCCGCTCACTGGTGCTTCAGCAGGAAGTGAAGGGCTGGTTGAAGGCCAAGGATATTGCGGAGTTGGCCGGCAATTTTGAACAAAACCTCAGCTGCAAACAAGGCAGTTACCGCGGTACAGAATCAGGAAGTTTAAAATATGGGCTGCAATCCGAAACCCTTTGCTAGAGAAAATTTCAGTCCCAAATCAGGATCATGTTTTCGCTGCGGAAAACAGGGTCACTTTCAGAGAGATTTCGAATTTTCCCGTGAGACTGCTGCTAATACAGCCAATGTTTCAAGCGTGGCATCCCAAAAGAAGCGATTATGGGAAAGCCGTACCGCACCATTGCGACACTCTGCGATTATAAAAAACTCGCTGATGAGGAATCCGCACATTGAGATTTTTGTGGGAGGCAAGACCTGTTTCGCACGCGTTGACTCGGGTGCGGATATAACGGTGATACGGGAGAATGAAGTATCCGCTGAGATTTTGCGTGAGAGCAGTGGCACAACAGAGCTAACCGACGCTTTTGGGCAAGGTGTGACCGCACGTCTTGTGTGGGTACCTCTCGGAATCGCGGTTCTCACCAGGAAGTGTTGCTGAGCCGGTTAAATTGCGATGCGCGGTGACCGATCAGTTGGCTTCGAGTGTATTCGTTTTGCTTTACACCGAAAGATTACAAATGTCTCTGTCACCACCGGCAAAAGCGACTGAATTGTCTCAAAGAGCGTGATGCGAGGGTGAACTGTGTAAAGCGGGAGAATAAACAGGAGCAGCATGCACCGATGCGGGAGCCGGAACATGTGTCTCAAAGTTCTAGCCCTAAGGCTACCTCCGTGCAGTGTGCAGTGAAAAGACCGGACGGCCGGGCAATGGAACCGCACATGACTAAGTCCGCGTCACTTTTAGAGCAGGCACAATGAAAACGTTGCAATTCTGCTGCGGAATGTAATGTGGACAGTGAGCGGCTCGGTCCATTTCGTGGAAATTATCGCGACAGGGAAGAGGAACGCGATGAGTCACTTGCCGATGCGCGGTGTCAGGTGAAAGAGGGATCGCATGTGAAAGAAAATGATGGACGGTTACTGTATCACAGGGCGAAATTACACAGGAAACAGCCCCGCCAGTCTGTGTTGTCAGAGTCGAGCCGAGACGAAGTATCAGCGACCGACAACTCCTGCGGTGGTAACTGCCCAGAAAAGAAAACGAGAAAGCACGTTAAAAAGTGGCTAGCATTGGGTTTCGGTGGTAGAACAAGGGGGTTCTATGTCAGGCGTATTTCCTGTTCAAAAGAAAAGGTTGTCAGGACGGGACCATCACGTGTACGACTCAAGAGTGAAGTGGAGCGGTAAGTTCTTGGAAGGATATAACTACCGGATTTTTTTGAAGATATTTTTGTTCTGCGTTGTCTCTTTTGAATTTTGAAACAGTTTTTTGTGTAATCGTCGTAGACAGAAGTTATTGTAGTAACTAGTTTTGCGTTTCCTTTTTGAGTGTTCAAGTATGGCATGTTACCGATGAGTGGTGACATTGTGAAAGGCTTTCAGTGGAAAGTCAGGTAATTGTCGGTAACGGCGGTTCGAGAGTCCCGAACACGCTGTCATGAAACGTAGAGGCACGGGTAGCGTTTGATTGAGCTGGAGCACTTGGCGTTGTTTTCTAAGTTGACAGAAACCAACCCCAGCAAAGCTTTTTGTTTCGCCACGGACACATCGAACGGGCAATTAGAGGTTGCCTCTCTCAAACGATAGGTTAACGGGAACGATCAGTCGCATTCTTCAGTAAGAGATTGAACCAGTCGCGATGGGAGACGTCAGCAGCTGAATAAGAGGCGAATGTGGAAAAATGAATTGTTCGTATTGAAGGTGCGCGGAACGAGGCTGCTTGTGCTCTTTCGCGTCTCGGATGATCACTGGGTTGCGTGATTTTAACTCTTTGTACTGAGGTGGCGTTTTGCCTTTCTCATATGGTTGAGTTTTTTTTGTGGTTACTGTTGTTGTATTGCAACTTAAGTAGTCTCTGTGAATTGAATGAGTGTACACGAGTTTGCATCACACGTGAAAGTGTTATGCGTGATGTTTAAGTCGGTCGAACAGACTAACACTTTCATCGTGATGTGAAAATGTATTGTTTGTTGTACATTTCTAGTTGAGTTGCTTCTTGCAATACGAGCTTGCCTACCAGTGGTAGAACTGCTTTTAGGTGTATTAGATGTGTTGTGTAGCAATAGTTTTGTAGAATAAATAAGGTAGCACTTGTGAGGTGAGTTCGTCATAATTTTTTTCTTGGTGCGATCCGTTGAGACTTACTGTATACCTATACCGTTAGGTCCGTCGCTCTCTTTGAGTGTGTCATGCGGAGCCTGGAGGGTGCATGGAGTGGGTCTCCCGTGTTGGGACAATGATAGTGTAGTGTTTTGATTTTAAAAGACAATATGCCACCGGACTATGCACGGTGCGTGTGCCCTGTGACAAGCTCATGCGAACTGGCTGGCGCTGTGGACTTAACATTATGAATGCGTTATTCAGTGTTGTGCATTACGAAAGTCTTTTCTTTTTCTTTCGGAGGACCATTTGAGAGCATCATGTATATGTGTTGCTGCGTCCATTTCGCAGAAGGACGCGACAGTTCTCCTGTTGAAATGGAATTGATAATCGGTTCATGCATGTGCGTGCGCCCAGAGTAAGTTTATTTTGAGCGATTATTTGTTTGTTTTTGTATCGCGTTACTGGACATCGAGTATCCAGTAACACTCTTGAGGGGGAGGAGCTAGTATGAGGCACTGATTACCAGCGTGTTGGGTGCAGCGCAATTAATGCGGCTGATGTAGATTGCGTAGCCAGTTCCCGATCCGTCAACTAGCGAAGCCGATCGTTTCCGCGAAGGCGAACGCGAAAGACCCCGAGCACGTGAAAGAAAGGAGACTTCTTCGCTCGCACAGTCTACTAGCGAAGCCATCAAGGTCGCCCCCATTTGGGATTAGAAGGGGGAAGCTTGCTCAGAAAAGCGTCTGGCAAGAGGTAGGTCAGGCGCCACCGTATGACTTTAAGCCATTGTTGACAGGCACGCGTGCCATTGAGAATGACTTGGGGACGCGACCACTTGGCTGACCCAGACATAGTGGCGGCAGGGAGACGAGCGCTGTTGTTAGGATGTCGGGGCGCCTCGCTGTCGCATGCACACCTGGTAAGCGCACGGAGCCCAACGGTGTACCCACCGCTCTTAAGGAGGCTTCTATAAAGCAACAATTAATGAGAAAACTGACGGGGCTCGATCATAAGAACGGCTGCCGACGGAGGCAGCACGGCCTGGCATGGGAGAGAGTGTCACACGCGCAGAACCTACCCCTTTACGTGTTTCATTTGGTAACGTTGTTTTAACCAATGTAGTACTTGTTATTAAGGTGTTTCTGCGATTGGTTGTGATGATGCGAGTCCCAACATGTGATTGATGTTTGTGAAGACTTTTTGTTCAACCGAGGATTGAAAAGAGGATGTTTGAATTTGAAATAAGAGCGGAGGTTCGGGCTTGGACTCGGGCAGGAGCCTGAGGCTGCAATAAAGCGTCTCTTCACCGGACTGCGGCTCTTCTTTCGCGCTGCCACCGTGCACTCGAGTTATCGAGGGGACCCATTCCAAACCTCAAACATCTTCCCTCCTTAGCTAGTGTTGAGGCTAGTCGAGGAGGAGGAAATGAACTATGGGATTACTTGAGTTAATGGCATGAAACACACACTCGACAGCACCTGACACTCACGTACAAAGCGCACTTTGTGCCTTTTCATGGGTGCTATTACATCCAAAACCTAGCACTGCTTTGCTGTTTTTTGATGAATAATTGCTCAAATGCTGATTAACTCTCATATTAAAATCACAAAAACATCCATATTAGCTTCTTTTATACAGATGGCGATTAAGCCTCTGCTCACGCTCAGTCACTTCATGTGTGCATCATGTTTCAAGTCGGAACACATCTGAAGACGTCTATTGTCAGTGCCCTTTTCTCAGCCTTTCAGTGACAGTGCCAAATAGCTCATGGGAATATTTTACTGGCTTGAGTAGATTTAGGACACGGTATGCAGCACCAGGTGCAAACAAAATTGGTTATCAAAACGTACTGGAAGAAGCCTCCAAGAAAGCTGTTTAGTTAATATGGGTCAATTTTATTTGCAAAAAATAAAAGGTTCATGGCAAAAAGATACGCCAGTAACAATAAAATGAGCAAAAGCCAATTCTGCAAGGTACTGGAAAGCTACCATTTCGGCAACTTGGTTGGTTTTTGTAACTATCATCATAACTTCCATGAAAGTTTGACATAAGTTGTTGTGACAGTTGTATGTTAACAGATTTTATATTGAACACACAATTTTAGTTAGTTATACAGTAGTTTTCCTTATATCACCGCATCACATTCATATTTTCACTTCGCCCAGCAAGAAATATTACGTTCAGGAATTCATCAACTCATCCGGTTTGAGTGATTGACTGGTAATAGCTCTCCACATTTCTGTGCTATTTTACTACTTCAATTAGGCTTTGTATAATCGATAACACTGTTAATGAAAAGTGTTTCATTTGTTACTTAGAGTTATGCAGTAGTATTGGTTTTTGTCTTCACTTGCTTTTGACTGTTTCCATGTAATTTTTCAATAGTGAGTATTACCATTATGTTGTGTATTGATCGTATTTTTATTGTTCATTAAGCTTATTCTTTTTCGCCCCGCCACGTTGGTCTACTGGATAAGGTACTCGGCTGCTGACCCACAGGTCGCGGGATCAAATCCCGGCTGTGGCGGCTGCATTTCCGATGGAGGCGGAAATATTGTGGGCCCGTGTACTCAGATTTGGGTGCACGTTAAAGAACCCGAGGAGGTCAAAATTTCCGGAGCCCTCCACTATGGCGTCTCTCGTAATCATATGGTGGTTTTGGGACGTTAAACCCCACAAATCAATCAATTAATCAAGCTTATTCTTTATTACTCACAAGTCCGTATACTATTGCTGTATTTTTTATAATTACCCCATCCATGTAGCCATAGGAGTCCCCCCTCTCAGTATCTCTGAAAATTTCGGACCTCCTGCTGTAATAACGCTAACCATGTAACTCAACTGAACCATTTAATAAACTTGACTTGAAGTATGCATATAGCCTTCAATTATATTATGAAAATTTGAAGGAAACCGCAGCATTTTTTTCACTTGACTATCGATAAGGTTTTCTCTGTGGTTAACAAACATCAAGAATACTTTCGCATCACGACTACCCTTATTTGAAATTTTTTGAGTGTATAATTTTCACACGTTAGACATAGACGCTACCTGAAGCTGTCATTTACGACTCCAACATTCTTGCACGTATCTATTGCAGCACTGCATGAAAGCAAAGCGTGCAAGTGCGGGAAAAAATTTTTACAAAAAATACGCGAGCTATACAGCAAATTCAAGTTTGATGGGATTCCTATATCGAGATGCCAGATACACCATAAAGCTCCACTGACGCCACCTATTCACGGAACATTTCAGAGCCCACAGACACCCCAAATAACTTTGCGTCTAGCACCGCTGCAGAATATTGCAGGTACACACCCCGACCATGCAAGCGTACATTCTCGGTCTGGCGGAGTTCCCTATACGGCCTGCAAGCCCGTGAGTGTCGCACTGTGCTGCATACTGGGTTTGTAAACCCGTTATCCTTGTTTTCCTGCCTTGTGCGTAGTCTCTGTGCCGTGTCGGAGAAAACTACGAACCCGGCCGCAGCGTCGTCGCACGCAGCGGCAGTGGAGGACGTCGCATCCCTACACGGTTGCGCTTAGTAGGTAAGCCTTGTGCAAACCTATCTCCACATAACTGGCGCCCAACTTGCCTTCGGCATGGCTTCAGAGCAACCCCTCAGAGGCGCTCGTTTCTGTTCGATCCTATGGCGACGGACTTGATCTCGTTCGAGGCGGACGGCTGCAACAGCACGGGGCACAGCCCTCTCGGCGACTCCTGCTTTCTTTCACCGGGAGAGATCCCTTTTTCGGGGCCCCCTACAGTGATGCGAGTCGCTTGAACGAGGACCACAGTCCTAGCCAAGCCGGTAACGGGCTGTATCAGCTGTCCGAGACTCACGCGCTTACGGGCCCGTCCCCGGCGCAGTCTCCGCTCGCTGGCCTTTCCCCTTCAGCAGCATGGTTGACAGCTCAAATCGCCGTACCCAGTCCTTCCTACCGGGCGCACTCAGGTGTTGGCGGGAACGCGCTTACTGACCCGTCGTGGTCGCGAGCGCAAAGGGTTGGCGATGTCGTTCGCGAGCCTGCTCACTTAACTGACAACGTCGCTGCGTTCACCGACGCTCGCTGGCCTGAGA